AGAAAATGGAAATATTTCCATAATTCCTAATCATGTTACGAGTTTGAGAAAAAAATCACCGACCCTAGAAAACTATAAATAGACACGCATAGGCCTCACACTTTGTTTTCATTCATCACATTATTATCTTACAACAATTTTTTCACAACGAACGAAGGAACAATGTCGAACTCGAAGAAGATTGTTTTGAAGAGTTCCGATGGTGAAATCTTTGAGATTGAAGAACCGGTAGCTCTCCAATCACACACCATAGCTCACATGATTGAAGACGATTGCGTCGAAAACGTAATCCCTATTTCAAACGTAACCGGCGAGATCCTAGCCAAAGTGATCGAGTATTGCAAGAAACACGTTGATGGTGGTGGTTCGGAAGAAGAGCTCAAGATTTGGGACCAAGAGCTTATGAAAAACATCGATCAATCGACGCTTTATTATCTAATTCTAGCTGCTAATTACTTAAACATCAAAAGCCTTCTTGATCTCACTTGTCAAACAGTTGCTGATATGATCAAAGGTAAAACTCCTGAGGAGATTCGCGCTATTTTCAACATCGAAAACGATATCACACCCGAAGAAGAAGAAAAGATTCGCCAAAAAAATCAATGGGCCTTTGAATGATCATTCACCATGGTGTGGATGACTTAATCAATGTTGTTTTTACGATGAGAATTACAACGATGAGAATCAACAAATTTATAACAACTTTATAAAAATGTGAACTTTGCGCATTAATATCGTCTATTCTCCAATTTCATTAAGGAAAAACAGAGGAACCAAAAGAAAAAACAGAGGAGTAACGATTCTTGTGTTGCTCTGTTTCCTTTACTCAACTTGTTGCAACTTCTTTTTCTTCTAAGTAATTCTCTTTCTCGTCTTCATTAAAGCTTCTTCTCTTTTCCTCGTTATCTCTTTCATATCTTCTCTGTACTGTTCTTCTATCTTCTCTAACTCCTCTCTTAACTTCTCTACTTCCTCCAAGCTTCCTTGTTTATCTGTTTCTTGATCTTCTATTGTTGCAGTTATGGTCGAGTTTCCCTCGTCTTCGGATCGCGGGGCACAATCCGAAGACCAAGAGTTACTCACGGATATACAAGCTTGCGGATTAATAAGATGATCAACCGAGACATCAGTTTTCCAATTCGGTATCAAATTGACTAGTAATACGTCGATTAATTCCGCTATAAATGTAACGTTTTGATCCGTCAATTCGAGCTGTTCGACCATCTCACTCGATACTTTAGATGCTGTGTCGCCTTCTTGAAAGAATAGGAAATGAATGTTCCTAACACGTCCTGCGCGCCGATAAAAAAACAACAACAAAAGCTAATCAAATTTGATATAATACATAAATGAAAACATAACTCGATTGTTTCAGTTATGTAAGAGTTACATGAACACTCACCATTTTCGTCGACTATACGAAGAATTAGCGAGACAGAGTTATCGTCATTATCTTCACCTTTAAGGACAAAGAAGTTGCCTCGCCTTGCCCGTCTAACCTCAATACATTTTGATCCTGAATTGTTGCTTGAAGTAACAATAGGAAGATTATTGTCCTCATTGAGATCCATCGACACTGGTCTATTCGTAGCGTTAGGTGGTCCTTCAGACATAAGACAACGTTCTCCAAATGCTCCTTCTTTCGGCATTACAATATCGGGAAGCGGTAATGGGGTGTTCATAGTTAAACCATTCACTTGGAGAAAAGAATCCATTAGAAGCTCCTTTGCTGATAACCTTTCAGAAGCCGGCAATAAACATTTCTCGATAAATTTCATTACTTCCGGATCTTTAACCTTAGAGAGTGAAGCCGGTTTTATCCCCTAAGTAAAAAATACTCCAAAGTTTTGTTAATTTTGTTCGATAATAAACAAAAAGCGTAAACTATAGAGAAATGTCGAACTTACCGATGAAACTTTCTTGTAGATCTGAGCAGAGTTTCTACATTCACAGTAAGGATAATCAAATGTAACCATTTCCAACATACACATTCCGAACGAATATATATCAGCTAGCTCGTTGTAATTCTCATCGTAAAGCTCAGGCGCCATAAACTCGGGAGTGCCTGTTGTTTATAAAAAAAAGTCAAATTTGATCGAAAAACAAACAAAAAGAGCGATTTTTTCGGACTTAAAAAGAAATCATACCAATCACACTTTTGGCATTTGCTTGCTCCATGACAGTAGCTAAACCAAGATCTCCTATTTTCACTTCTCCATGATTACCGTTGATAAAAATGTTGTCGCATTTGATATCTCGGTGTATAATCGGTGGTTCTTGACTATGAAGATACTTCAATCCCGTTAAAATCTGCCTCGCCCAACACTTGACAGCTTTCATATTCACCTTTCTATGTTTCTTACGGTACCTTTAAAAACATAGACCGCTTTATGCTTCTCGAGAAACCGCTATTTCGAAGCGACATAAAAAAAAAAGTAGCAAAAACGAGCAAAGAAGAGGGAATGAATACATACTGTCGAAGACTTCCTGAAGTGAACAATTCGGTAATTATGTTAACAGTTTTGTTCTTGTCATCGATCCAAGAATTATAAAACCTTATAATGTTATTGTGCTTCAACGATTTCAAAAGCCTCACTTCTGAATATAGCCTCTCTAGACAATCTGGTGATTGCAAAAGATCATCGATCCTTACTTGATTCCACGCGACTTCGATTCCATCTACTTCGTCGAATCCCTTATAACTAATTTATATGTCAAAAGAGTTAAGGAATAGTGAATTAAAAATTACACAGCACATGAGATTTGATAAAAACAGAGAGATTATGTAAAAACAAAATGGATACACTGTCTTGAATGCGCCTTTTCCTATCACTTCTTTATACTGAAAAGTTTCACATTCGAATCGATCAAGATATAACACTCTAGGAAGAAAACTAAGAATTAAAACTGATTAGTTCGAATTAATTACCCGAATATATCGACAAGTTGGATCGATTTCAAGAACTTCTGGATCAGGAGGCTCTATAGTTGCAGAAGCATCATCTGAACCTTCCATGTTTTTGCTAATCTTGATTAGTATGTTTCACTCTGT